GATGTTGTGTAACTCGTACATTCCAGCTTCTCACGCATGTCAAGTGACTGGTCCCTCACCCCCAACCCCCTGAATTGGCTACATTCCCCCTGGCTCACGAATTTCCTGTTGCCGCAACGCCCCCCCCCCGAGCCACATTGCGCCGTTGAAAGGTTACAAGGAAGTTATTTATTCTCCCGCTCGTCATCTGAAATTAACAACGGTTGATTGTGCTTCATAGGGGCGGAAACGAAAAGGAGAACGCGAACCGTATCGCTCAAGATAATTTGACCAATTTCAGGCGGGTGAAGCAGGCGAAGATGATTCTGGTGGAGATGAGCCAACAGAGAGTGAAACACCAGGAAAACCAAGGAGAAAGGTGAGTAATGCTGACTGTTCATTCTTTAAGATATAGGCTTTGTGATTATGCGCGAGCATTTGTGTTTGTGCTGTTGCTTTTTTTAGTTTGATAGATTTCCTATGATGTGCAACCTTCCGCTCTTAACACTCATACCTACATTATACACTTCGCCCTAGACGTCAATCGAACACATACTTTCGCCTTTCCCGGCATTTGTGCTACCAATTGCTCCACCGCTGCATCGTTCTTACTTAACCCAGTCCTCACTGATAGCTCGCGGACTTTGAGATTGCGTTACCTTTTATAGTGCATGGATAATCTATGAGATATGTGCATTTTTGACCATTCAAAATTTTCACGTACTACTTATTTCAGCGTCGTCGTGTACATCTCACAGACTATTCGGCAAGGAAAAAGCAGCGGGAGAAAGAGAAAGAAAAACTGAGGAAGGCAGGACTTCTGGAAGATGCTAATCCTAAGTCAGGGTCGGCTGAACCGGAAGAGAAAACGCAAACGCCACAACCAGAAACACCTGAGCCAGTCATAAAAGCTCCGTCAGTCAACAAGTTAGTAACATCTAGATCACGTATTTAGTGCCAAGAGGTGGTCTGTTTAACAGGAGGGGGAGGGTGAAGGTAAGGCGGTCTGGGGCATTGTAAGTAATGCTTCTAATACCACGACAAACACCTCTTTTTACAGAAGTTCAAAACTAATACGCATTTTTTTTTCTTCGCACAA